ATATATATATATATATATATATATATATATATATATATATATATATATATATATATATATATACACTGCCGCGATAGCTCAGTGGTTAGAGCACTGGACTCAGACCCTCGTGGTCCCGGGTTCAATTCCCCGTCGCGGCAGTCATAAAAATGCCTGCGCTCTGGATACTTGTTCGAGCCCGAGAAAACGACATATCGCCTTGAGAAGTCAGACGCAGGTGTCGTAGGGGAAGTCACCGCCGTGACACAAGCGTTAGCGCGCCGAACCGCAGTTGATTAGGAAGGGCATTCAATCAGGCAAGGGTGACACTGCCATATAACCTCTTACTACTGAATTGAGAGAGGCCTATGTCCTGCAGTGGAATGAATGGCTGTTGAAAAAAAAAATAATAATAAATATATATATATATATATATATTCATTTATCTATTGATCTATCTATCTATCCATATAGATATTCATTCATATATTCTTTCCTTTTTTTTAAACATTCCTTTTCCTAATATTTAGCATATTAAACAATTATATCACAAGTTATCATTATCACAATCACATATGTCCATTAATATTCCTTTGCACTTATATCCTTCAAAGGTATTTCTATACAAAAATGTCCATTGCTATCTAGTGAGAAAAAAATCACATCTTTTTGAAGATTTATGTTTATTAATAATAATACAAAATATACTGATTATCAAAAAACATACCATACATAATGGGCTGTGCTCATTGTAAAAAGATTTTTAAAAATCTATTACTGATGTAGTATATAATGTATAAACTCTTGGTTTTATCACATATAATCTGTACAATCTTAAACCCAAAAAATTCATAAAACATTAAGTGAATTTTATATAAACACATGTAAATATGCACATACAGAGCTTTCTGTTAACTAGCTCAGTGGTTTCCAAAATCTTCTTAGTGATGGCACCTTAAACTCACATAGTCCTTTCCGCGGCACTGGCTTTCTCGTTCATATCAAAACAAAGAGATAACACTGCCTTTTAAACTAATTGACAAGTTGTTAAAGTTATATACTTTACTCTGATTTTATAGAAAGTCAAATTTTCTAGCGTGTACTTTTGACTGGATATTCTTCAAAGGGTATGCCATACATGACATTATACATTTTTTTACATACAAAACTTTTTAAACTTCAGGCAAAGTGGTCTCTATGAGGTGATAGGAAACATATTAATATAATGCCCAAATATGCCTATATGCTCTGTAAAAAAAAATATCACACTTACAAAAAAATATAAAAGTTTTATAATGCATTATGAGCTATGATTCTTCAGGAACAATAATAAAAACCTGAGAACAGATCTTCACTTCACATTTATGCATTCTGGTAGAATCCTTCCTATTTTTAGCCTGTGTAATATACCTTTTTTTCCTATTCTTTGGACTTCAGCAGCTTTGACTTTCACTAGTGTATAAGACACACCCCTGTTTTTGAAACATTATTCAAAAATAAATATTTGCTATTTTGAAAATCATAATGAAAATTATTTTGAGAAATTCACTGGAAAATTTCCGCACTATTCCAGCCGTCCATTATTAAGTATTGAGACAATGAGAAAAATAAAAATACAGGAAATCTTCAAGTAGATTTTGTAACCTGAAATGAAATTCCAGTGCTTTGCTCATAGATCAGTAAGAGCAAATGTAGTTTTCACTGAATATCATTACAGAGATTGGAATAAGAAACAGCTGATTACACATTCTAAACTTTAAAGAAAAAAAACAGTAACTATAAGCCTTATGTATTCATGGCTAGGCCTCCATTTTGGTATCAGTGATTTGGGCAAACTGGTTATAAGGTAATACTTCAATACTTTCTGAAAAAAAAAAAAAAAAATTGTCTTATATACCAGCAAATACAGTACTTACCTCATTTGAAATCCTGTACCCCTGTCTGTGTTAATGCACATGCACAGGTGTGTGTGAGTGCGTGAGTGTGAGTGTGAGTGTGAGTGTGTGTGTGAGTGTGTGAGTGTGAGTGTGAGTGTGAGTGTAAGTGTAAGTGTAAGTGTGAGTGTGTGTGTGTGTGTGTGTGTGTGTGTGTGTGTGTGTGTGTGTGTGTGTGTGTGTGTGTGTGTGTGTGTGTGTGTGTGTGTGTAGGGGGGTAGGTTTGTATGGGTGTGGGTGTTGAATAGGGTGTGGGTGATTGGCTAGGATGTGGGTGTAGATAGGGTGTAGGTGTGGGTGTAGGTGTGGGTGTGGGTGTGGGTGTAGGTGAGGG